TGCACGGCCAGCCTGGCCGAGCCAGGTTCGATTCCTCCGCCCCTCTTGGAGAGCCTGGCAAGCTACCGAGAGTATCTTGCCCGCACGGCAAAGCCAGGCAAGCTATTCATGATGTATTCAATATGCCAAACACAGTAACAAGAAGTCTCACAATGGAGATGTTACTGGGCCCGCTCGAGCAAATCGATGAACAACGGGAGGACAGTGCTACAGTTCTTTTCAAGTACTTGGTTCGTTTTGCAGCTTTAAATCAAGCTGAACACATGAAATTTACTTCACATTTCAAAGGTGGGGCCTTTCTGTGGAGTCACTGAATTTTGCACATCCGCAAATGTGGGTAACAGTGAACAAGAACTGACTCTGTCCCGGCACAGTGCTCAGCCTCCGGGAGACAGACTCCTTTCAGTGCTCACCCAGCAGCCCCCTGAGGAGAGCATCCCTATATGCTTATCTTGCACCCATGTACTCTTTTACAAAGAGGCAGGCACTAACAACCTGCCCCATCCCACTGGCAGGAGATGGTGGGAATGGGTCTGATCTCAGAGTCTCGGTACCTAATCCAGGGCCCGACCTGCTGAAGGACCCAGAAATCACGCCAGAAGCTGATCTCCCAGATCTGGCTGAGAACACAAGGAATCAAGGACTTTCCAGGCAAATCTGGGATCAAAATGCAGATCACTCAGGGCAGGGACAGCGGCACTTTCCCTTAGGAATATTTCCTGGGAAATGCATCCTAAGACCCCCTCCATCTCTAACTGCATAGCACACTTGTCCTGTGTTGCCTAAGATTTAACAGAATGCTTTTAGGGCCGAAGAGATAATACAGTGGGTAAGGCACTTGCCTTGCACACAGCCGACTCAGGTTCGGTCCCCAGCATCCTATATGATCCCCTGAGAACCTCCAGGAGTAATTCCCGAATGCAGAGCCAGGAGTAAGTCCTGAGCATTGCTGGGTGTGCCTCACCAAAACAAAACAAAACAGAAAGAGAATGCTTTCCGTTAACTGCACACGCCACGGGGCTTTGTCCCTGCTAACCTCTCTCTTCTGGAATTAATTTCCAGCCCTATGTTTCAGCACTCTAAGTAGCACCGATGCTTACAGTATGTTTGGATAACATTATTACAAAATATTTAAAGAGATCTTAAAAGGGAGCAAAAGTCAGGACAGTTACTTGACAGTTACTTGCAAAGTCTGGACCACAGGTGGCAGGGATTTCTGTATACTGTCTGAAGAGGCGCCACCGTGTGGCAAGAATTTAAACAGCTGCTACAATTGGTGAGAACAACGTTGACCTCTTGTATTTATTTAATTTTTTTTAATTCTGAGAGTTGCGTGATTTTTAAAGTTGTGCACTCAAAATCAGAACTGATTCGTTTCTTGTAACAAGATGTTTCAGATTCCCATCATTTAAGCTCAGATCACTCTATATTATGTGGTACTTGCCATGATTGGAGTGTGCTTGACCTGGAGCATTGGTACAGCAGGTAGGATGTTTGCTTTGCATGCTGACCCAGAGTCATGGGAACATTAAGTCCTTGTCCTTGGCTGAGGGTTTACTAGGTTGTTGCCACAAGTTAAGACTTCTGTGTTCATGTTTTTGTGAGTCGAGATTGGTGGCTTCTGCATTCCATCTCATCCAATCTGCTGTGATACTTCTGGGATGTCTGTGTTATAGAGCTTGTAGATGTCTTGCGGCCCCAAGAAAATCCAGAATATTTAACTGGGCAGTTCCACAGGGGACATAGTGGCGGATTTGGGGTGTATGAATGCCTGCTGGGGCTTTGTTAGGGTAGGAGCTGGCCCACCCCGTTCTGAGATCGCCCTGGAATGCGATGTAGGTGCCCTAGAAAATTTTGCGACTAGTTGATCCCTTTCAAGATTTGTTTCCGAGTCTCTGGAACAGACTGGTAGATTAACTCCTATGGGGGAGGTGGCGGAATGTGGGCCAAGAGTACTATTTTTAAAAGCAATTTATATTTAGTTTGTTTTTCGAGTGTACCTGGCTTTATAAAATCAATCATAATTATTTCCCATAATAAGGTATTTATATTTTTGAAAATAAATATTTACTCATGGTTTGGGCTGGAGCGATAGTACAGTGGGTAGGGCGTTTGCCTTGCACGCAGCCAACAAGGCCGACCCGAGTTCGATTCCTCCGCCCCTCTCGGAGAGCCCGGCAAGCTACCGAGAGTATTCGATATGCCAGACGCAGTAACAACAAAGTCTCCAATGGAGACGTTACTGGGCCCGCTCGAGCAAATCGACGATCAACGGGAGGGCCTTTTAGAGGTAGGGAGAGGGCTGGGATGGGAGGGGATACTGGGGACGTTGGTGGTGGAGAATGTGCACTGGTGGAGGGATGGATGTTCGATCATTGTACGACTGAAACTCAAACATAAAAGCTTTGTAACTGTACCTCACGGTGATTCAACAAGAAAGAAAGAAAGAAAGAAAGAAAGAGAGGGAGGGAGGGAAGAAAGAAAGAAAGAGAGAGAGAGGGAAGGAGGGAGGGAGGGAGGGAAGGAAGGAAGAAAAGAAAGAAAGAAAGAAAGAAAGAAAGAAAGAAAGAAAGAAAGAAAGATGCTCTTCTGGCTTGTTTTCCGCAGCTGCAGCCATTTCCCTTCAGGTGCGACCTCCTCCTTCTCCTCCACCTTCTCCACTTCCTCTTCCTCCTTCTCGAAGCCTGGATCTGAGCATGGGTCTCTTACCACCCCCGCCCTCTGCTGTCCTTTCAATGTTGATCATTTCTGATCATTTCTAGACCAGAGCCATAGCACAGTGGATAGGACACTTGCCGTGCATGCTCTTGACCCAGGAACAGTACCCAGCACCACATCTTGTCCCCTGAGCCCAGGAGGCCAGGACCGATACCTTAGCACAGAGCCAGGAATAAGCCCTAAGCACCACCAGGTGTGACTCGAAGCCTCCTCAAAAATAGTAGTAATGTGGATCAGTTTTAAGAACTTTACTTTTGAGTAAGTATATTACTTTCACCTGATCACTATGATCTGCTTTTGTAGAGTTTGAAGCAGAAGGCTGGGATTACTTCAATATGAACCATTTATTCTTCGGGCTGGAGCGATAGCACAGTGGTAGGGTGTTTGCTTTGCACGCAGCCAACATGGCCGAGCCGAGTTCGATTCCTCCGCCCCTCTCGGAGAGCCCGGCAAGCTACTGAGAGTATCTCGCCCGCACAGCAGAGCCTGGCAAGCTCCCCATGACGTGTTCGATATGCCAAACACAGTAACAACAAAATCTCCAATGGAGACGTTACTGGGTCCGCTCGAGCAAATCGATGATCAACGGGAGGGCCTTTACTTACTTACTTACTTATTCTTTGGGTATGGTATTTGTGGTCTCCCAGCTCATGGTTACTATAATTTTGATTTTGTATGGATGTAACCATGCTCAGAGGTACACAGGGGTTGCCCCCAGCATGGTGCTTGGGCAATGGGGGTGGCTCTCAGAGGTCCTCCAGGATCGTGCAGTTCCAGGGACTGAAGCTGGGTTTCCTGCACGAGTGCCTGTGCTCAGCACATTGAGTGATCTCCCTAGCCCCCTCCTGATTCTTCTTTATTGGGAGTATCCCAAGCTTGGGAGTCCCACAGCCCTCCTGGTGATTCTTGGCCAAGTGGGCTGACAGTTCAATGTGAGGTCAGAAGTTGCAGTGCTACTTCTCCCTGCAGGGCCAGCGGTTACCTGGGCCATCCTGATCATGCTAGGAACCTCCAGAGACACACCTGCAGATGCTTGGGGTGAGGGGGAATTTGGTGCCAGGGATTGAACCGGAGTGAGCTGTCATGATTATTCTCTTGTTTGTTTTGGGGTTATATCCAGCAGTGCTCAGGGCATACTCCTGGTTCTGTGTTCTAGGATCACTCTGGCAGGCTTGGGAGACCATATGGGGTGCTGGAGATAGAACCTGGGTCAGCCACAAGCAAGGCAAATGACCTAACCACTGTACTATTCCTTCAGTCCTGGAATCCTGCTTTGGATGTCGGCCAGAGAGCATCACTGACTGTTTTCTGTTGCCCCTTTCTTCATCTGTAAAACGGGAGCCAATTCAGCCCTTCAGCTGCACCTGGCCTGGGGAGCAGACAGCACGATTGCTTCGTGAGGATTGGGGACCTGTTTAAGCATAGTCTGAGAGTCAGGCCTGGAAGGAAGCATGGAGATGGTCTTGCTGACAGGCATCTTCATGTGGTCCAGTGAGGATGAGAGTTGCTAGAGAGAAGACAAGGGTTTCCTTTTTGGCAGAAGTTCCTGTATTCAGAAATGTTCCAGTAGGGGAAAGCATGTTCAAGCAGACGGGGCTTTCTGCAGAAAGAGGCTGGATGTGAGACTCGGCTGCCGGCTTTATCCTGGAGCTCTCAGAGAAGCTGTGAGGCGTGACTCAGTACATCAAAGATCACAAACATCACAAGTGCCTCTTGCAACTTCCCCCGCCGTTTACAACTAGCCAGACACTGGCCACCTGGGTTATCTCAGTTCTTATCTAGACTCTGGGCGATAGGATGCAAAATCTGTTTCTCAAGCGAGGAAACAGACACATTTGCCCACATTCTCCCAAGTGCATATGTAGTTGTAGGCTGGATCAAACTTCGGCTTATCAAATTTCAAACGCCTGTCTCAGTTTTCATTTCTCTTCAGCTCCAGCTTGTCTTGTCCCCAAAATAGAACAATGTGGCACCGGAATTCCACTTTCCGTTGCCTTGACTGTAGAAAGACCAACTCGGTGTGAGTGGGAGACGTTGGGTCTGTGGAACCTGGGGTGAGCCTTTCCACGTGCCTTCCGCGGGCGCGGCCCGGGTGGGCGGGGCTTAGTGGTAGGGGAGCCTTTAGTGGGCGGGGCTTTTAGTGGGCGGGGCCTTGTTGGGACGGGGCCTTCCGTGGGCGGGGCCTTCTCTTGGGACGGGGCCTTCCGTGGGCGGGGCTTTCCGTGGGCGGGGCCTGTCGCGAAGAGTGGCACAGACCGGAAGTAGCGTCGCGGGCGCTCCCGAAGTGCCTGAGAAGTTTGCGGCGTCCTGGGAGCCTGAGCGAGGCTGCAGCGCGTCTCTACGCCCGAGCACCCCGAGACGCCGCGTTCTCGCCGCCGTAGCCCCCCGGGACGATGGTGATCCGCCTGCTGCTGCGCGCCGGGCTCCGGGGCCCTGCTGTGGGAGCCCCGTGTCGACCCCTCAGCGGCGGCGCGGGACCGGGCCAGTACCTGCAGCGCAGCATCGTGCCCACCATGCACTACCAAGACAGCCTGCCCAGGTGAGCCGGGCCCCCGCCCCCCGCTCGGCACGGGCCGCTCACTCGCGACTCTTCCGCCGACCCCGCTTCTGCAGACCCCCGGGGGTCCCGGGCCGGGGGACAGCCGGGAGCTCTTGCATCGCCCACCTTGCAGCCCTGCTACTCAGGAATCTCCTGACGTAGGAGGCTCGAACGCTTAGAGTCTCAGATTCGCCACCTTTCCCGGACCCCCTCTCCGGCCCCGTCGGAATCCCGAGCAGACCCCCGTAATTCTCACCAGAAAGTGTGGGGCGCCCGTGCCCCGCGCCCGCTCTGCCAGGGGCCCTGAGCCCTTCCTGACTGGCCCTGCGTCCTGCCACAGGGTCGCCGCCACCCTCCGGAGCAACTCTCCTCTCCCGTTACCCTCTGCCCCAGTGCACCCCCAGAGCGCCGCACCCCGCCCTGCCAGTCCTAGGCGCTCCCCCGACTCGTCACAGTAGTGCTCCGAAGACTCCCGCCCCACCCCCTCAGAAGACCCTCCTGCACTCCCATTACCCCCACGGACCGAATTCTGGCACAGCTCTGTCGTGCACCCCGCAAAGCACCCATTCAAGCTTGGAACCACAGCCACCCCCACCCCCTTCTTTCCCTTCTCACCAAAGCCCCCCCCCCCCCCCGCCCTCTAAAACGCTTCACAGAACCTCCTGTCAAACATCCCCAGTAATTCCTCCTCACCCAGAGCTTAAGTCTGGCAGCCCGTTATCCCCGCTTCATCAGAGAGCGCCTGGTGCCAGGTTAAAAGTTTGTCTCGAAGATCCCTCTCACTCCTCCTCTCACCTGTCAGCGGTGCCTCGTTCCTAGGGAGGAAGCCAGGGCTCCTCACCCCAGGAGGAGAATGAGCAGGGTATCACGAGCTTTGCCCCCGGCTACTAACCTGCCCTTTTCCTTCACAGCCGGGATCCATTTAGCTCACCCTCCACACTGCCCACCCTCAGCCCCTCAGGAAGATCATCCGAGGTGAATTCCCAACGTGCAAACCTCGAAAACTAACCGAGATTCTCTAGCTCCAAACACACTGTCCAAATTTGGCAGGAAGAGAGCGGGTGAATGGGAGAGCCTTGTGTCTGTGGGACAAGCCAGGGACACGGCTCTGTCCTTTCCAGCCTGTGCGAGCTGAGCCAGTATGTAGGGCAAAGGTGAAGACTGACACAACCTGTTTCCCATTGCCAAGTCCAGCCGCTGAGGCCTTTGACTTTCACATAGGCGGGGCCCCACCTGGGTTAAAATCGGGAGTTTCTCCAGTTTCTAACCAGATCACTGCAAAGAATATGGGAGATCGTCCACTTTGCGCCTACCCACAGCACAGAAATCTTGGAGTATCTGGAGCTACAAATCCGCAAGCTCCTTAAAACGTGACTGCCCCCCTTACTACGTCTGCGGTGAACTGGGAGTTAGAGGAGGTTCCTTTTATCTCTGAGATCTCGCCGTGACATGTCTTCGTGTCCTCATGAAATGACACTTATTTTGCTACAACACTTGGTGAAACGCTCGGGTGGAACTTGGATATCAGATTCTGGATCCAGGGATCTGTCACTTCAGGCAGCCATATTTCTTATCTGTAAAGTAGGGATTGCCAACTTAGAAATGATTGCACTATAATATAATAAAAGAGCATTTATTTGACAATAGGGACTTTGATCTGGGCTCATCCTCTAAGATGTGTTCTGTTGGAGATTGGGCCTAGGGGAGTTTGAAAGAGGTAAGCAGGGAGTACCCCCCCCCCCCAATGAATTGATTAAGGGGAATCTTCAGACACTGTCACAATGTTCTTATAATCATCAGAGAGGGCTTTCTTCTGGTTTTCATTATCATCACAGACCTCAGTGGTGGTGTTCTCTTTCAGTCATTGATAAGGAGAAATCAGTGAGGCATGTTTTTTCCTAGTTCCCTGTAGGGAGTTGGGTCAGGTTATTTATTTGGGGGGGAACGGGGGGGGGGGGGTGAAGCAAGATAGCTTTTATTGAAACTTAGCACTGTAGCACTGCCCTCCCATTGTTCATCGATTTGCTCGAGCAGGCACCAGTAATGTCTCCATTGTGAGACTTGTCGTTATTGTTTTTGGCATATTGAATATGCCACGGGGAGCTTGCCAGGCTCTGCTGTGCGGGTGGGATACTCTCTGTAGCTTGCCGGGCTCTCCAAGAGGGGTGGAGGAATCGAACCCAGGTCGGCCACATGCAAGGCAAACACCCTACCCACTGTGCTATGACTTCAGCCCAATAATAATAACACTGTTATTGAAACTTATTTAGAAAGATGTCAGAGGAAGAAGTATATGTTTGTGAGAGAATATAGGCTTCTCTGGAGTGGAAAAGCAAGCGAAATACATCTTCAAGCATGAACATGGCCTTGAAGAGCAAGCCCCCAGGAAGTACACTTTCTATTTTTTATTTTTTGGTGAAACAAGAAAGTTATTTAGAAATATGTGAAGGGAGATAAAGGGAGAAGTACATGTTTGAGAGAGGATGCAGGCTTCTCTAGAGTTGAAATAAGCAAGCAAAGAAACAGAGACAAGCAGTGAAATAGGGATTCACGGGAAAGCACAGACTTAAAGAGCGAACCCCAGACTATTTACTTTTTATCAGGAAGTTTTCATCTTGGTGGAGACCGATATAGAGTCTGTGTTACTCAAAATTGGTCCCATAAATGGAACATACAGTTCATTGGACTATTGTAAGACTAAAGTGAAATACTATGCCACAGTTCAGGAACTGTCCTAAATAGTTGGCCTTGGCCTTAGGTAATCCAATTACCATCCCTTCCTGTTCCTATTATATTACTGCTGTCTTTCAGCCAAGGCCTTGGACTTGCTTTCCTCCAGAAACCTTGCCTCTTTTTATTTTTATTTAATTTTTGTTTGTTTTGGGCCACACCCAGTGAACCTCAGGGCTTACTCCTGACTCTGTGCTCAGGGGTCATTCTTGGCTGGCCTCAAACTCAGCCTCCTGCATGCAACCCACTGGGTTATCTCTTTGACCTATAGATGTTATTTTTATTTATTTATTTTAAAATTTTTCTTAGCAAAACACCATGAGGTACAGTTGTAGACTTACAAATTTTTATGCTTGGGTTTCAGTTATACAATGATCCAGTACGCATCCCTCAACCAGTGCCCATTCGCCATCATTTACATTTTTTTAAAAATTTTTGTTAGTGAAACACCATGATAGATGTTATTTTAAAGGTTATATTTATATACACTGACTAATTAAACTGAGGGTAGGAAACTTCAAGGCCTAAGGAAACAAGGTGTGGATCAGCTGGATACTTTTGTTTACCTGAATCTTATAGACATTGATATGGATTTAGAAACCTATCAGTGGGTGATCTGAGTTTGATCCTTGCAATCCCATATATTCCCCCAGGAATAATTCCTCTGTAATAAGCCCTGAGCATCACTGAGTATGATCCCCATTCCCCCAAGGAAAGAAACCCATCAGTCTGTGAGGTTGTTGTAGTGGGGGACATATGCAGAACACGAGGCAAGCAGTATCTCATGGTGGCTACAATCGTGAGATAGGAATCAGGCCTCACTTTTAATCCAGCACCAGTTTACTAGCTGCATGAGTTCAAGCCAGTCTAAAAATGAGGGTAACAAAGTTCCTTTCCGTATTGTTGGAATGAAATAATAGCATAATGACACTGAGTAAATACTTAGTACTTTACACAGTGTTGTGAGGGAAGCTTCGTAGAAGAATGACTTTGGAATTGAAAATTGGGTATCATTAAGGGCTGCTTGAAGGTTAGAATAGCTTATGCTTAGAGCAGAAACCTGCGAAGGGAGGGAGAGAGAGAGAAGAGAGAGGGAGAGAGTGAGTAAGTGTGTGTGTGTGTGTGTGTGTGTGTGTGTGTGTGTGTGTGTGCGTGCGCGTGCGCTCACAGTTTCGGTGCGCACAGTTGGGTTACACCTGGTGGTAATCAGGAACTGCTCCTGGCTCTGTGCGTGGGCACTGTCTGTGGAGCTGGGATCGGAACCCTGGTTGCAGCTGCATGACAGGGAGATGCCTTAGCCTTTGTACCATCTCTCTGCCCCATCCACTGTGTCTAAAAAAATGATCAGGCCTATAGTTGGTCCACAATAAATATCAATTGTCTGTTGTTTGGTCTTTTTTTCTTCCTATTTGCTAAATGGCTGACTTGGGAGAAATTCTACTTGAAAGGAGAGAAAGAAAGGGAAAAGGGCAGGGAGTTCCCCTCTTATGGAAGAGGTCTCCCAAGTAGGAATCCCATTGTTTTCCTTTTAATCCCTAATCACTTGGGACCATAACTGGTGCTCAACATAATGGGCAAATTCTCTAGGATTATGGAAGGCAGCCAGCAGCGGCGGGAGGAAGGTGAGGCCAGTTTTCGGGTGTGGAGGGTGACAGGCGGAAACTGTGCTGTCTGGGTGCTGGAGGCATTGTCTGGATGTCCGCAATCACCAGTTTTCATTCAGGGAGCTGGAGGAGACCTGTGAGCTGTAGCGCGCTCCACCTGTTCTGTAGGGAACTGTGGAGAACTAGGATAATGCAGATAATGGACAGGTCCTCACAGTTCTGTTCACTGGAAAAATGTCTTTTGAACACTTCAAAGGAATCCTCCACTGGGCCTTTGTGCTCAGGAACAAGCTGCAAGAATGACCAACTTAAGCAGAGAGGCATGTCTGAGCTCACAGACCTGACACATTTAGACTGGATAAAGGGGGCCAAGTGATGTCACAAGACTGCCTTGCCCCCTACCCAGGTTTTTGTGTGTATGACCCCATTCTGAAGGAGGTATACACCCCATGGTGACAGAGTGGCAACCACCACTTTCAGCAGAGGTCCCACCCTTCTTTCTTGGTGACCCAGATGTTCGGGTTCTTCCTTTTTAACAATTTAAATCTGTAAGCCTGACCGGTACTCAGTAGGTATTACTGGGTTTAACCAGATGTGAGCACACCTCTGAGGTGGGAAATAGAAACTGGGAATCTGTGCTTGGACCTGTAGGGCCAGAAGTTTGGT